TCATCCAAATGGGCAGCCAAAAGACAGCAACCAAAACCGGCGCACGAAGGTGCATGGTTCATGGTTGTACAAACCGAAACCACATCTAACGATCGGTTACACTAATACTGAGGTCCCAATTCAGGAAGCCTTACGCGAACTAATTGAGACAGTCTCTTGGTAAGGGTAGTAATACCCACATGTCAAGACTGAGTCTGACCACTTCTCGCATTTTCCCAATCATTACCTGCCTTTCGTAGACGTATCGCCACTTCATCCGTGATGTTTCCGCCAGATAAAATTTAACTGCCTAAATAGAAAAACTTTTTCGTCATCAACTACTTCCCTTTGTTAGAACGTGGTTGGGGCTGGGAAAACCCACTCTTGGAGCAATATTTTACACTTTGACGGCACAAAACGCACAGGCACACAACCCATCCTGAAAAGTCTATAACTTACTGAGATCTTTACATAGCACTACTGTGTCGCCAGCATACTCCAGACTGGACAGCCCGCAACCTGGGAGCAAATCAATACTGCTATCCTGGCACGAGGACAGAACAAATCATAAAACCTTTACAATGATTTGTAATGCTCTAATGAAACGACATTCAATACTCTAAGTACTTCTTGTCCCAGTGCATCTGAGCTATTCATAAGCATATAGAAAACCGAGGTAAAATATTTTACTTTTTATAAAGATAGAAAAAGAATAACTAAAAGACACGCACCTGTCCAAGATTCTTTGCCAACGGTTAGTGCTTCCATCAATGCGGGACCGGGACGAGGATCTGTTGCTACGTAATACCTGGCCCGTACACGCTTGAAAAACTCGGCGTCGACCAAGTGCGGATTACCGCCACCTGGGAGGTAGGCAACATCCACATAAATTGGTTTCACCTTATCGTATGGAGGTAGTTTCGCAGAGCCCGGAACGGCTGCATGACTAGACGCATCCGTGTACCCCGGTGGAAGTTGGACCGGGGCCGCCTTGGTGTTAATGGAACCTTCATTCGTCGAATGAAAATGGAAAATGAGAAATTAAAATATGGATTAGTTCACGGAGCGATACAATCAAAGCTGAAAAACTGCCATGCAAACAATTATACTGTGGACGTCAATGCTTTGAAAGTACATCACGTAGTGAACCATGTGCTAACCCTGGATGAAGTACGTCTAAGCACAGTGGAATATTGAAAACATTTCACACATTAAAACCACTGTCCATCTAAAGTAACCAGTACAGTCACTCAGCATATGTATCACATAAGATCCTTTCATCATTCCATTCTATATTTCGTGATTTTATTGTTGAGAGAAGGGAATTCACTGAGACATGACAACAGCAGGGCAATAGTTTCGCAATTTGCGTGAAAAATGATCTAACAAGTAGACGGGGTAAACGATGAAACCAAAAAAGCGTGCACTCACTTGTCGAAGTCATTCGTCTTGCACCTATTTAGAGGGGTGGGAAATAGACAACAATGACGAAGTTTGTTTGTAGGTGTTCAGAAATGAAACGTACAAACAAAACGCAAGCAAACAACCCACTTGACAGTACAGAGCTTATCTGAGCACCTCAGCGCACGCTCCGTACACGACGCAACTTACCACACAATGGAATTAAATCTTCCACTACTCCCATGTAAAAATTGAACGTCTCTACACACCTCGCATCCTTGTCCTTGATAGAAAACGGACTACGATTAACGCAAACATTGGAGGCGTTTTCCAGAGGAGTGTGAATGAAAGTTAAAAAACATTTGCCTTAAATAATGAACTTGAAAACATTACCTCCTCGAAGTTGCTCGTGTGATCACTCTACGGTGCAATGCTTATATATGATCCGAAATCAGAGGGGGGGATGAGAGAAACAGTGAAATTTCGACTACACATAAAAATCGGGACATTGCGGTGCAATCAAATTATAAGAATATCACGAATGACTTCGAAACTTTTACAAGTTAGTTGTATGTTGTTTTACACGACCATAACATATGGTTTGAGCTTTAAAACCCAAGTACTGGGATGAAACTGATGGAGGCGGTTAAAAATGGGCTTAAAATGACGTGAATACAAAAACGAACTATTTGGAATCAAGTTTAATGACACCATTGCCAAAATGGTGTGAATGGTGTAGTAGTAGTAGTAGTAGTAGTAGTAGTAGCAACCAGTTGCCGGGTTAGAAAATTGTGCCCACTAATGCTACAACTTCAAAATGGATCCTGAGAAAATGATTTTACGATAAGAAAACCGTCATAGGTGAATCTTCGATACACTATGAGCAAACTTTCTTCGTTCATGATCCCGCGTCAGGCAGCCGAAAGCATCGCATAGGGATAACATTGTTTCACTGAGCACATCTGCAATGAGGACAGCTCGCGAACGGATTAGAACAAAACTCTAATCCGTTTGTTATGTGAATAGATGACTGGGCAGTTCCATAATTTAAAAAATCTCGGCCGGACACCGGAATAGAACAAATAGTAACAAGTGACATCCTGAAGAACGTTCTCCCCGGTTTCTGATTCCACGACGATGACATCGACCTGGCTTCCTAGGGCCGTCCAAAGACAGTGGTGAAAAGCACTTACATTGATACCGACCCGAATGCTTTGCATGCAATGAGTCCAATCCGGTGTCATTTTCTAATGACAAAATCTCTAATCTTTCCGATCCTCCGACGCATTCTCGGCTGTAAGCAGCAATGTTCTCCCTCGAGCACTTCGCAAATTTAGAACAGCTCCTCTAGCCTATGCGATGGAATTCCCCTTGAACGAGTTCGTCTTCCCGTTTAGTTCTTGATTCCCGCAGTCATATTACAATAATTTCAATCATAAAGGCCACATCTACTGTTCCTACTAAACCGCTTCATACGATCACACCATCCTCAACAGTACCCAAGTTGACCGAAAAGGTCATTCTAGAAAGATTGCAGTCATTTACCACAATTCCCCCAGGATCCGATCTAGTTTGTATTTTAACGCAAAAGACTTAGACTAGATGCTGTGTTTATGCTAATCCGTTTGACCAATTCAGTTTGTACAACCACGAACCATGCACCTTCGTGCGCCGGTTTTGGTTGCTGTCTTTTGGCTGCCCATTTGGATGAACATTAGGAGAGAGACAGGAAGGTTGAAAGTAGAATAGAAGAGAAAATTGAAAGTGTCAGTGGACTAATTTTGCAGAGAAATTGACAAGACGCACGAACGCCACTGTTTACGACACAGCCGTATTACTCAGTGTCTCTAACCATCGGGTACGATCATCCCGAGTTCCCCATCCAGGGAGCCTAACGGGACCTATGTGATCTAGACTCCTGGTTAGGATTTCCATACCCTCATGTCAGATCTTAGCTTGACCACCCTTGGTTTTATTCGGCCCACTACCTGCCTCAGTGAATATCGCTCGCCGTGGCAACCTATTTGTTGTCATGCGTAACACAAGTTCCAATCCACGTGATCTCTGGAGGTCGATCACTTGCTTTAGTGGGCGATCGCAGTTACCTAGAACTCCATGACTCACCTCAGCATAACTCGTCGGGCTGCCCCATCAGATTCGTGCAATGCCGCGTAGACAACGAAGTTCAAACAGCGACAGTCTATCTCTACGCAGTTTTCTCAATTGCCAAGTTTTTGCGCCGTGTAGCAGAACTTGTCGAACTGCCGCGGCATACATTCGACTCTTCACAGATAACCGGATGTCGCAACGGTGCCACAGATGTCTCATGTTGTTAACCGAGCCTTTTTTATGGGAGCTAATACTTCATCCGTTAGATGTGGATAATATGGTTCAGTACTAAATGTGATGCCAGTACATCTAATTATTCTTGTAACCTTGGTCTATATGAATTTCATATTTTTTTTGTGTTAAATGGACACTCGAAGGAAACCTATGCAATTCGGAATACACACAGAAGGCATCGTTTGTCTGTTCGCATGTATAAAGGACGAGCCAAGCCTGAAAAATTCTGTTCGTTCATTATGCGGTTTTCACCTTCACAGTAGAAAGTAATGCTTTGTGCCAACTAATCCTGTTATGAAACCATACGACCAGGAATTAACTGAAGATGACTGCTCCTCATACTTAGGCAGTTGCCTGATCAATGACGTAGTCATAGTAATGGAGGTAGTCGCACGCATTTTCGAGGCTCGAGCAGCGTACGTAGGACTGAAGGGCTTGCTGCGCAACGTGGTATTTCACTGAAGTTAAAAAGTCGCGTCACCGTTGGTTCGGTTCTGCTTTATAATTACAAGACCTTGAATTGGCGAGTATAGGACATCTACACTGGAAGTTTCTAACATTCGATGCTTACGTTGAATAGCGTGAGTGGTTAGTAACCTAGACATAAGTTGTGTTTGGGACTGTGCCGAGTTCAGGTTATTTTAGGATGCGTATTGCGCATGCCCAGTTGTCGTCTATCACATTGCTCCCTATTCGCCTTGACCGCTCCGGGTTAGGGGAAACCACTTGGTGGCCAACAGATGACGTGGAGATGAGGCATGGAGAAATGCACGGAGCTCTTAGGTAGCGTAGGTGTCTCCCTTCCTCCAGGTTGAAGTTCGAAGGACTCAGTAATTGGGTGGTTGCAGACACTGAAGGACATGACAACGACAACAGTGGTGTTCTTATTGTCATGTTTCAGATCGTGTACATGCGCAGTTGGACTGGTTACTCCCCAGAGATAAGCTCAACTCCACCTTACACATTCTCACCTCGTATGCATTAAGTTTGGCAGCAATCAGTGAAGTTCAACTCACTGTATTCCACTGCTCGATGATTCACTTTGCTTCAGCCGCACAGCACATTGTCTTCCCAAATGTTCAGTGATGGTTTTGTGATTCTTCCTCTCCTCAATTGGGTCCATAATAATCGTTTGCTTGTCATTTAATAATTCTCTTGCAGGAGATGACGCTCAACTACCCGCCTCACTAATCCTGGCTCATGAAACCGAGGAGTTAATGATTTGGCTCGGTCGAAACGCTGGCCGTCTGGCTGCCTGTCATCTGGAATTGACCGCTGTTGCCAGTCGTTCAAGTATTCAACTGCTCAACGAGCAACAAGCTGGCTCAGCAACGCCACTAGCCTGTGCCGGCTACCGAATAGACTTTTAAAAACTGATCTCTCTCTTGCTCCACTTACCTATCGATGTCAATGCTAGTAACACACACCAGTGTCGTTCATGTTGCTTCTTTCTTGCTTGCTACTCGCCTTCTGGCTATCGCCCGTCCATTCACTCATCCATCTGTCTGGATATGTGCATACGCACTAACATCCATGCGTATCGCGACACATCGCATAGATTTTACCACCTCATGCATTCATTGTGCTCAGACCAACTTTTGCTGGATATTGCCTCGCTTTAGTGTCCATCTTGTTTGTTTGGTCTCTTGCTCGCTCTTCACTTAAGCGTGCGTGCGTGTCTAGTTGATCATGCATTTTTCTTACCAAGACTAATCCACCATCCAGTCCCCATACCTGTTCCGTCCGTCCCGTCATTATCTTTAGTGCAACCATTAATAGGCCGAGTACTTATAAATATCTTCGGTACATTGTATTTGCGCTCCTGTGAACGCGTTCGTGTGTGTGAACGCGTATGTGCAGAGCAACAATAACAACAATTGACGTTCCATCAACAGTCGTCACCGCCCGCCATCGACATCAGCACAGCCAGTTGTCACCGCTGTTTTTATTTTTCTCGTTTTCGCCGCCTCTTTCTCCGTGAACATGACTAGCGGCGCACTATAGACGCATGATCCCGTTCACCCAACCATTGGCCTTCGCTGTGCTGTTTGAACAGCACAACCAATAGTTCCTCACCCTCTGCGCACGTGTTTTTCTCATTGCTGACTTCTGTTCAGAGCTTCGCTTTTCTCGCCTTCACTCCCAGGGAGTAGTAGCGAGCCGATCATGTCGGACTAATTGTATCCACTGTTCTGGACCTCCGCAATTGAGACTGCAAAAGCATACAGAATCCACGACTAACATTCCTCTGTGCTATTGGCTCTCTTTACTGATAAATTTCGGGGTTCAACATTCGCTGCGAGCGAAGCCCGCGTACAGTTTATTATTTTTTGGTTTTGCTTCCTAATTGACGTGACTCATGAGTGACAATTTGACGCATTTTTCGTTCTCTTCCTTTCTCTCGGTCCATCGTTGTCCTTTCCCTTCTTCCCTATTTCGTCTGCTCGCATTCACGTTCTTGGATATAAGAATATTGCTGATATACGCAATTCGTTCTGTTTATTATTCGTTTGGTCTTCATTCTTTATGCCTAACCTAGCGGTGTCTTGTGTGGTTCGCCACTCCGAATCCCGTGGCTCAGCTTGCCGTTTACGATCACTGATACAGCAGGTTTTCGTGACTGTGGAGTTCCTCTGCCTCGTCTGCTGTCCATTACATAGTGGTGTGTAATAGAACGGATGTGGTACGGGCGAAGGGTTGGATTGTTGCATGTATACACTATCTCAGTCGGGTATATGTGCAGTGTGAATACGCTTGTGGTCATTGGGTTTATCCGTTCAGGATTCGATCACATTAGCAAGGGGTGGGGATGGAACTTGTAAAAACTATAATATATCGGTGGTCTGGAACGAATACTAGTACACCATAGTCCGTCCATGCTTTTCAAAAATGGAAAACGGGCTTTCTGACGTAAGATTTGCTACCTTGATCGTAATTAATTGACTTAAATTCTAATTTTCTCAGCACAACGCAAGATGGTTTCGCCGCTTGGACCATTAAATCGTAGATTAGTTTATCCTCGATAAGCGATCAGAGTCTGCCCAAGGTTCAAGTGGTCGATAGATTAATTAGGTTTATTGTGGCCACTTTTGGCTACAATTTGCAGCCTATAGGCGATTACCGTCAGCGAAATCTACAGGGAGCCTATTCATCGTTCATTTTGTCAGTAGTCACTGAAAAGTAAAATATCTCTGGCTCATGACAGTGAAGCTGTCTGATGTCAGTAGGTGTTAATCACATGACCATTGGACTCTGCATCGTTTTCGGGAGTATTCGGCTGACCTGGATCCGCAAATCATACATGTTTTGTGGATCCTCGATGTCACTCGGAAGGAAATTAATCGTCACTCTATTTGGTCAAATTAAATGAACTGATTAGGTGTTTTCTCACGTGCAACCATGCTGACTGACATGCGTTGCTCTTTCGGACTGTTTGGCTTTTCACACGCTTTGATCGAGGTATTTTTTGTGTGCTGGAATCATTGATCGAACTCGTGCCATACAATCCGCAATTTAGAAATATATTTTTCAGTTTCCAATACCTCCTCACTCTTGTATATCGATAGCCAGCTAATTCTGTTACATTACTACGATCCGACAGCTCGGGTTAATGTTTCCAACTCTGATAGCATCGCTGCTTTACAAAGTGTCACACGGTGCGAAAGAGTTGAGACCATTCGGTCACAACTTGCAAAGTGTACTGTATATTGGTACTCTGTTGTTTTCAGTCGGGATAGCACGTTTTGGGTTATTCAGGTCCAAAGCCCGATAGTAAAAGATAATACTTTTATTTCGTTTTTAGTGTAATGAGTACTTGATTGTATTATGACTGGTTTGTTTAGGCAGATAAAACGACTGCATAAAGCATTGTTGCAGTTCGGTACGAGGACGTCTGCGCCGTGCTGAGGCTATTTTGTGACTTGTGGGTGCACTTTATTGGTTCATAGTTACTGGTGTCTCACTATGAGCTCATTCTGGTCTGATAGATTTCTTTCCCGGTCGTTGGATCAAACAGTGAACCAGATTAAGAAAGATGGGCTCAATTTGTTCACCGGTGGTTAAGGCATAAACGGGTATAACGAGGGGGTTTGAAGGAGGTTTTACCGAACGGATGAGGTTACACACACTTCCGGTCTATGCCAAAGGGTCCCGAATAACTTTTGATCCCGGATCGATTTAGACGGATAACTTTGCGAATTGTTTTTACGAACAAACTGTTTAGCTGTAATATCTTTATCAACGCCGCTTATGCTATTACAAGATAATGTTTTCAGAGGGATCCCGATGGGTTTGAAGCGTCTCTTCATTTAGTTTTCAGTATCCCGGAGTTGTGAGTTTAGTTCACGGGATTATCAGTTGTTGGATTCAAACTAACCTGTCTCCAATTCAGTCCCACCGGTCATTCGTCAAACCTTACATGCTGAGACGGTAGTTTCAAACATATCTGGCTTTGGGGCATTTAACGGGTTTTGCTAATTTATACTCGCGGTGTTTATTTGACAACAAGTCGGAAAGTGGGATATGCTCGGGTTATA